TTAGAAATCCTTACTGCACTGATCAAGATAAAGAAGTGAGCAGTGATTCACAAAAGCTCATACCCTGCCACAAATTTTGTTAGTCTTTGAGGTGCTACTGGACTCTTGCTCTTTACTCCTTACTGTATTGAGTTTAAGAATATTAAATACATCACTCATAATTTTGTAAGCATATAAAATTACCCTAGTTATGCTGCAGCTATGTTCAAACAAAAGTCTAAATATACCTAATGCTAGAGAAAGCTCAGGGAGGGAAGGCAGTATGGTTATAGCCCAATCTCATCAGATCTTCGAAGCTAAACAGAGTCAGTACTTGGGAGACCACCAAGGAGGGTTGTGCAGAGAAAGGCCATGGCAAACTACATCTGCTTCTCATCTGTCTTGAAAGTCCCTTGTTGGAGTCGCCATAAGTCAGTTGTGACTTGGTGGTACATACATATAGATGTAGAGAGAACTTGGTGAACTGAAGGTCTTGCCATGTGGGAACTAGGGAAAAGATAAATATTGAAGCTAGAAGCCATAAATATGGTAGTAAACAAAAGATAAAACAATCACATGGAGGTGGATTCACCCTTCCTCCAACCCGGCTCTTCCTCTAGTGGAAGAGTCATTTCAGAGGAAGGCTTCAAACTTGAGCCAAAAGAGTCCATTTTCTCCAGGGGGACCTGATCTCTGTAGTCTGGAAATGAGCTGTAATTCCAGGGGATCCCCAGGTCCCACCTGAAGGTTGGCATCCCTGCTTTAGAGAGCTGTTGCCAATTGGAGTAGAGAATACTGGCCTTGGTGGACTCGAGGGTCTGATTCAGTGTAAGGCAGCCTCATGTGATCACTTGGTGTGATGCCCTTCCCTGGACCCTTCCGCCTTGCACTACAAGCGGGTGTTCACGATAGGAGTGATTAGCATTAGTTACAGTTGGAGCGGGGAGTCCCATCTTGGTGGTTGTTTCTTTAACCCACCCTTCCCAGGGCCAGTGGGCAGCAACCACTCTGTGGCTGAAGCGCTGCTGCTCTTCTTAGAGAGTCTTCCTGAGCCAGTTGTCTGCTACAAGCTGTACAGAAGCAGCCTGGAATGTGCCAACAGCTACAAGATGAGCAGTCAAGTAAGGCAGGTGCTGGGAGAGGGGCAGGGCTGAGCGGCAAGACATACCACTTGCCTGCATGTGAAAACCGGTGTGCAACACTAAAGTGCTCCCAATCTCCTGCAGGTTATTTCTGTGCTGCCCAAGTGCCATCAAAATGTATTCCGTTACCTGGTAGCTTTTCTGCGGGAGCTGCTGAAACACTCTGGGAAGAATCATTTGGATGTGAATATTCTTGGTAAGGAGAACTGAATGAGGGACGAAGCCACCCCTTTTGGTACATGGTCCTTACCAGGGTTGTGGGGGAGAGGGAAGGGACAGGAAGAACTCAGTTACATATCTCCCATCCCTTTCTTCGGAGCTCAGGGTGGTGTCCATGATCCTCTCAATTTTATTCACACTGTGGGGTAGGTTAGGCTGCTGTCCAGCGTTGTCTCCCGTCTCCGACTTAGACCCTCTCCCACCGGGCAAACCATGAATGACCCAGTGCCCTGAAGGCCCTTACTCAGAGGGGGGCAGCAGAGAACAGGAACAGTGGCTAGTTTGGCGGCTCACGCAGTGACAGGCCCCAATCAGGTAGTAGCCCCCACCACTGAAAGAGAGGAGATTGGAGAGTTGTACAGCCCAGCAGCAGCCTTATACCTGGTGAAGGCCAGCAGCTGGGAAGGGCCAAGGTAAGAAAAAGATGGAGGAGGGAGGTTTGGGCCTGATACCTTTAAAGCCCAGGAGGGACAGCAAAGGACAGGCAGCCCTGACAGTGGTACCCACCCTTCTGAGAGTCAGCCTGGTGTAATGGTTAAGATAGGTGGACTCTAATCAGGGAGAACCAGGTTTGATTCCCCACTCTTCCACATGCAGCCAGCTGGTTGACCTTGGGTCAGTCACAGCTCTCTCAGAGCTGTTCCCTCAAGAGCAGTTCTCTCAGAGCTCTCTCAGCTCCACCTACTTCACAGGGTGTCTGTTGCAGGGAATGGAAAGGAAGGTGATTGTAAGCCGATTCGAGACACTTTCGGGTAGTGAAGGGTGGGGTGTAAAACCAACTCTTCTTCTTTTATCACTTCCGGGAAGAGGTGGGGCCAAAGTCCAGGGAGTGGGGCCAAGGGTGGTATATAAGGGAAGCTTCCACGCCAGGCCTGGGGGGGGATATCAGGTGGATCAAACAGGGCCAGAGAGTGAAAAGTTGTGTTCACTTAGGGGAACGAAGAGGGCCAGGGTGCCCGAACTCCCTCTCCTTCCCATTCTGAGGCTGGCAGGGAAGCTGGCCCAGATCCATCCAGGATATTACAGGGCGGGCAAACCAGTACAGCAAAGGGGAAGTCTCACAATTGCAAGAGAGTGAGACAACAATGTTTGATGTTAAAGCCTTGAAACACTTATTGTGTGGCTTGAGCAAGGAAATAGTGAACCATAATCTTAATTCTGAAGCATTCAAATAATCAGGACACCATGCTCCAACCTCCCTAGCTTCTTGATTGAATCCAGTGGGTGGGGTGTAGGAAGGGGGAGAGTCTTTCTCAGGGCCTGGATGGCCATTTTTGTTGGTTAAAGTATGAATGCGTATTCTTGGCTTTCCTGTGCAGCTAGCATCTTTGGAGGCTTGTTGCTGTGCCCACCCCCTGGCCACACCAAACCAGGCACAGTTGAAAAGCAGAAGGCTCAGCAGTTTATCCAGCAGTTCCTCTGCCAGGAAGAGAGCACAGTGTGAAGGTCATGGACGTGCCCGGTTATAGATTGCTGCAATGATAACATTTTATACATTCCAAGTATTAGAACTGATAGAACATTAATACCTCTTCATGCGAATACAAGCATGTTTTCTCGAATACAGGTCCAGTATGACATACTGCTTTCGCAACTACTTGCAGGCTCATGTGATAAAGCAGTCTAGTCTGTGTATTGCTGCCTCCTTGGTTAACTGCTTGTAAACTTAAATCAGTAAATTTTTGTAATGACATTAAAGGTACAATTTTTCTTAAGTATACATGTAACTGGTTATTAACTTTATGCTCTTTCTGTCAGCCCCGTAGTCAATGGGGCATATTCTTCATCTGTTGTGGCTCACCCTTGCATACCCGCTATGTAGCAGCAGGGATGCCGAAGCTGAGGGAGACAATTTTAGGAGAGTAGCTGCCTTGGTGTGCAGTAGAAGAGCTAGATTGAAGTCCACTAGCACCTTAGACAGGGCCGCGGTGGCTCAGAGGTTAAGATGCTGAGCTGCAGACCGGAAAGTCTGTAGTTCGGCAGTTCGAGACCGTCTCTGGCCCCAGCTCCTGCCAATCTAGCAGTTCGAAAGCAAGAAATTGCAAGTAGATAAATAGGTGCACCTCAGTGTTTAGTCATGTCAGCCACATGACCACGGAAACGTCTTCGGACAGCGTTGGCTCTTTGGCTTTGAAACAAAGATGAGCACCGCCCCCCCCTAGAGTCGGATTCGGCTGGCTTTCGAGCAAGGGAAACCTTTACCTTTACTAGCCCCTTAGATAGCAACAAGATTTCCAGGCTTTGCCTGATGAAAACTCCTCTTTTTTTTGGCTCCGGAGGGCTTTAGACACGGAAGGATATTTGGGAAGCTAACAGAAAGAGCCGCCCTGACCTGGATAGCCAGGCTAGCCTGATCTTGTCAGATCCTCAGAAGCTAAGCAGGGCCAACTCTGGTTAGTACTTGGATGGGAGACCACCAAGGATCTTGACATGAAGGCAATAATGGCAAACCACCTCTTAACGTCTCTTCTCCTGAAAACCCCACGGGGTTGCCATAAGTCAGCTGTGACTCAATGGCACTTCCACCACCAACACGGAGAGCATCTCTCTTGCTACTTGTTTCCCTATGGCTCCTCTGCCCCACACTTTCACTGAGTGGCACATTGAGCCACAGACTTCAGACCAAGAACTAAATGCCACACAGCTTGAAAGAAGGGCAGAAGAAGTGACATAACATGGCTTGCCATTACAGCCTTTCAGAGCCAGAGGTTCCATTGCTCCAAAATGCCACCCCTCCCCCCACATGACAGTACAGATTGATCAAGATGGGTAGCCGTGTTTGTCTGTAGCAGTAGAAAAAAGGAAGAGCCCAGTAGCACCTTAAAGACTAACGAAATTTGTGACAGGGTATGAGCTTTTGTGAGTCACTGCTCACTTCTTCAGATACAGTTCATACACATATTTTGTTAGTCTTTAAGGTGTTACTGGACTCTTTTTCTACTATTACAGTATAGAGCTTAGCAGAAATAGCCAATGACTTGTATGAGAAGCCAGCTTAGTGTGTTTGTTGTGTATCTCCAAGTCACTACTTATGGCGATCCTATGAATGAATTACCTCTTTGAAACGTCCTATCGTTGGCAGTCTTGTTCAGGTTTTGCAAAGTGACGGCCATGGCTTCCTTTATTGAGTCAATTCATCTCATGTTGGGTCTTCTTCTTGGACTACTGTCTTAGAGAGCCTGTTTTTGCATCCACCTGCAGAGCGACCCAGCATTTGAGTTGTGCGTAAGGAATACGGCAGGCGTGAGGAAGGGATGACACGCATTTGATGACTGTATTCCCGTGACTGCACAAGCCAGGGAGGGGCAGAAACAGTGCCTCCGGCGGCCCAGGCTTCTCTTCTGGGTCTGAGTTCCCTCTGGAAAGCCTGGAAGGAGCGAGGCTCAAGCCGGCGCCACCAAAACAGCCCCTCACGGTTGGCACGGCGGAGCTCCAGCCTCGCGCCTTACCCCTAGCGTTGTGACACGCGCCATCGAGCAGGAGCTGCGCGCGCAGGGGGAGACCCGGCAGAGGTGCCGCTCTAGCCCGCCACCTTCCAGTGACCGGAAGTGAGGTCTTGGCGTGCCCCGCCTAGGCGGAAGCGGAAGCGTCGATGTCCGAGGAAGCCCCCGGCGGACCGAGTCGGAGCCAGGGCTGCGCGGGGCCTGCCGGCGGGTGCCATGGCACCGACGCGGGCGGGAGTCGGCTTGGCCTTACTAGGAGCCGGTGAGGCAGCTGCGTAGGGAGGGAGGGTCTTTTGCGCTCTGTAGTGGGGGGTGGCGGTGGCGACGGTGAGAGGAGGGACAGGTAGGAGCGGGTCCTTCCCTCCCCCACACGGCGGGGCTCCCCCTCGCAACGCCGGCCGAACTGTCGGCAGGCCTGGGCACAGCAAAGACAGGCAGTCGTGTGGAGGCGGCGCTCGGCCTGTGCTTGCCCACAGCCCCGCGCGAGGACTCCGCTTTCCTCCTGCACGGGCCAAGCTGGGTCGCCCCGTGCGCCGCTGTCTCCTGACAGGCCGACCCTAGCTTCGACGTCTTTGAAATAAACTTTCCAGCTTATTTTGAGTTGTGTCTGTTCTTGTGTTTTTAATTGCATTGCAAGTCACTTTGAGAGCCTTTGGCGGAAAAATGCTTTAAGCGAGTATGCTTTATTGTGGACACTTCCTGGATGCAAGGTTGGGCCTGCACACTGAATGCTACTGGAAGCAAGTTTGGGTTGTGATTATTCTATTAGAATTTATTGTTATTTATAAGCCACTTTTTTTTGCAAAGCAGATATACTAATAAAAATGAATAAAGCACCACCCAAATGAGTTAAAGTATAACAATATGAGGTAACATCCAAGAAAAATAAAGCAGCACACTAAATTGTCAGAAGATTGGATTTCTTGGTTTGTGGTGAAGCACTGCTTAGACTGTCATCATTGTCTTTTGTATTATTCTGCTTAAGGTAAGCTGTTGCTTATTTATCCTGCGACCCTACCTTGAATTCCTCTGAACCATGGGGGAACACAGTCCTGAGAGTGTCATCTATTATGAAGTGGAGGAAGATGACTTGACACAGGAGGATAAACCATTACGGTTTGTAGACAAGAATGGCCTTGTCTCATCTTTGTCACGGACGGTGTACGACAGAACAACAGTCCTCATTGAGCAAGACCATGGGTCGCTGGAGGAAGATGAAGATGAAGGGCAGTGTGGTGATTCTCTGCCTTTTCTACCTGAAGGTCATGAGGACAGGTTTCATTTGATAGCGGACCATGAAGGAATGTCCCAGGGTTACGTCCAGCACATTATTTCTCCAGATCAGATTCATTTGACTATCAATCCTGGTTCGACTCCGATGCCACGAAACATTGAAGGAGCCACCCTCACATTGCAATCAGAGTGCCCTGAGACTAAGCTTAAAGAAGTAAGTAATGGACTCAAATATGACTACTTTCCCCTTTCTGTGGGCTCTTGACTGGCAGTCTGGAACCCCATCACAAAGTGTTGTTTTTGTGTTACGTTGTAAAGCTATGAGATCATTTTTGGACTGTCATGCACAAAAAATATAATTCTGGATCCTGTACTTACATTGCAGAGCCACTGAGGAAATTAATTGCCTTTACTAAAACTTGCTTAAGCTTCTGTGCTGATTTTAGATATTTGCCTTCTGTTATTTTCCAAGGTAGACTTTTGTAGAGTAGAAATCTACCATTATGCATCTATGTACCTTTATGTATAGGGTGATTCAAAAGGCATACAACTGTCTCTCTTAAAAGCAAAATGGAAAGTGGGCTTTAGGTTCCCATTAAAATTAGGAGTACACCCTAGCAGGGAAAGCTTTGCACTGTGCTTCTGTGAGCAGGCCGGATAGTAATGCCTGCTCTCTCCTGAATTAAGGTGTACATTCTGTCTTCCCCTCATGCTGTTTATTAAAATGTAAGACCCTAAAAATGTAAAACATTAATCCTTGACTGTATACCATACCCTATCATAAGAGCCCTGTGGGATCACACCAGTGGTCCTTCTAGTCCAGCATTCTGTTTCACACAGTGCCCAGCCAGTTGCTCAGAAAGGCTCAGGACATAGTAATCAAGTTCATTCTCTTTCAATGTGGCTCATGGAATTTTTGGCATGAACGGGTTCTCCCTTAGCTTTTGTTCTGTTAATAAAGAGGAAATTCCCCAAATATACCTTTCCTGTCACTTTCACAACTGCAAAAGCAAGTGTTTTGTTCCTTTTAGGAAGAAGCCTTTAGATGGCTAACAGCAGAAATGCTGTTCACCTGTCATGAAGAAATTGGATTTAATCTAATATTGGCTTGGATCTTCAAAATCTGCAGTCTTAAAAAGCAGACCTGCTAGTTTCAGTATGATTACTGGTCTGTAATTTTATTACTTCCATGTCAAATGAACTGAGGACTTCTGCAGCTCTGGAGAAGGGCTGATGGCCCTTCTGAAATGCCTTTCTCTTGCCCAGAAAAGTGAACAGGAGAAATTTTCTCTCATTTCTGTGACTTTACTGGGGATAAAATTCATCTGGCATTTCTATTTTAACCTTTGTATATTCAAGTGATTATTTTAAATCAGGCCTTTAATTGATATTACTACTTAGTCATTCAGGAAAAGAGATAGTTTAGAAGAGACAGAGACCTTAATTTGTGTATTTCTGAACAGTGCAGAAACTGTTGGCACTTGCTAACTCCAGTTGAAGTCAAAATGCAGTTCTTTGATTGTAAAGACAAAAGGAAATCTTGGGTGCCTTAAGACTGATGGATTTATTGTATGAGAAGGTTTCACAGAGTAGCGTGCACTTCAGGCATGTTTATGAAAACTTTATGTCACCATCAATGTGACGCTTTAAGATTACTCAAGACTCTTTTTTGTTTTGCAATGGGTTGGTCCCTCTGGAATTTGTTATCTTTGTGTACAAGGTTGGCTGTTAGCTTCCCTAAGAGTAAAAGTGTTTGTTCACCTTATACAAGGAAGAACTTCCTGACAGAGTGGTTCCTCAGTGGAACAGGCTTCCTCGGGAGGTGGCGGGCTCTCCTTCTTTGGAGATTTTTAAACAGAGGCTAGATGGCCATCTGACAGCAATGCTGATTCTGTGAACTTAGGCAGATCGTGAGAGAGAGGGCAGGAAGGGCTGCATCAGTGCTTAGTTCTTGTGGCCTTTTCTTACATGCCCAGGGAAATGCTGATTGCCACTTTGGGGAAAGGAAGCAATTTTTCTCCAGGCCAGTTTGGCTAGGCATCCTGGAAGTTTTTTGTCATCTCCTGGGCATGAAGCACGGGTCATTGGGTGTGTGGAGCAGAGATATTTGTGAATTTCCTGCATTGGGCAGAGGGTTGAACTAGATGACCCTGGAGGTCCCTTCCAGCCCTATGGTTATATGATTCTAAGTAGGCTAAGCTGAATCTCTCAGCTACCAACTTTATCTTGACAGAATAGAGCTTCCAACTAAGGCAGGTGAACTTTGCTGCCGTGCTTGGCCAGAGTGCTTTGCTTGGCAATGAGGGAAGCACTTCTTTTCTTAGCTAATACAATTTCAGTTTTCCACTTTGTGTCTGTATTGAATCCACTTTGCCTTGTTGCATTCAGAGAGCTGGCTAAGGCTTTTCAGAGCATAGATATTCTTGCTGCCACCTCCCCCCATGAGTACAAGTTCCCTTTGCCAGGGAGCACTGAACTGCACTGTGAAAGGTGTCTTGTGGGCATTGTGCTATTCCCTGAGGCTTTGTGATCAGGCAAGGAACAGCAAACTGTTTTTTCAGCAGCAACAACAGGTTTGTGGGAGGACCTGCAAGCAAACTCAGGCAGGTGAACTTTGTTGCAGTGCTTGGCCGCCAGAGTTCTTTCCTTGACAATGAGGGAGGCACTTTTTCTTAGCTAATAAAATTTCAGTTTTCCACTTTGTGTCTGTATTGAATCCACTTTGCCTTGTCCATATGTCATCTTGACTTGCAGCCTCTTGGGGTACAAACATCTCCTATTATCAGCCATCTTTGACAGGTAAATTGACTGTGGCTGTTGTGTGTATCTCTTACAGTTCTGCTGCAGTGCTCTTCTCTGCTCGAAGGTAAGACACAGGCTAGAAAAATTTTGCCGGCTCAAACTCGCCTAGGAGACTAAAATGTGAACTATTTAATCATCTCTGATTGCTACTGGTGGCAAAAGCTTGAATTTAATACTTTAAATACAGCCAACCCATCCTCATTTTTTCCTGACATGCACTTATAAAATGTTCACTGGTAATTCTGGAAAACTTTTAAGCTTCTATTGAGTCACCCTTATCCTCGGTTATTGCTTATCTTAAGCCTGCAGCCTTTTCTTTCCTAAGTTCTTCAGGATCAATCTGAATTGGCCAACAATATTATCTCATTGTTACCAGGGTGAATGGAGGAGGTGTTATCAGAAATGGCAGAGTGCTGTTTCACACAGTTCTGTATGCCTTTTTTTAAGGATACTTTTGGGAGCAGTGTGTTGTCTTAGGTTGGTAATTGCCCTATGGATTTGCTCAAGTAAAGAACAGAAGAACCCAAGTGCCCTTCCAAAGATTTCCCAAGATTCAAATCACCTTTGAGTTTTCACCTTCTCATGTAATCATTATTGAAGCATGAGGCATTTGGGTAGTGTGAAAAATCCCAGAAGATGCCATTGCTATAGCATTAGAGGTTGTCCTGTCAATTTCCTATTTATCTTCTTCTGGGATATGGGGCAGAACCACTGTTCCATTTGCACATATGAACACTTCATACTTTGACAATTTAAGGGATTAATCCAAAGATTAATCATGTGGTTTGACCATTTCCTTCAGCAAAGCACAAGGAGCTCGGTTTTTTCCTTCAGAATACACTGGATGGTTTTCTCCTTAGGGTGCTAGAGCAGTTTGGAGGAAAGCTCTTTGCTTCCTCTGTGAATTAGCAAGAAAGCCTTTATGGTGTTTCCAAGAAATGGTGGTTCAGAGTATTGGAGTTGCAGTAGGGCCTGTGCAAAGTTCTGAGGGAGGTGCTCCTCTATAACTTGGCAAGCCCAGGAGTTTAAGCACACATACCTCAACTGCATGCCACACATTCCCTGAGTCCCACTGATGGAAGTGGAAGTTTTGACAGCAGCAAAACTTTGCCTATAACTCTTTCATCCCTAAATCACTCATTTGCAGATTCCACCAAGAACATTCTCTCACCACCCAGATTCCTGGACATGATCCAGTTCCCATCTCTTTTTTAGAAGCTCCGGTCTTATTCTTCCCTTTCAGTTCAGCAAATCCTTGTGTTTTCAGTTTTGGCACGCCTTGGAAAGGTGTGAATGCCCAGGTGCTTGAAACTCATTTCAGGTTTTGAGGGACACAGAACTTTTCCTGCTCTGTTTGCAGTGTGACTAATCTCAGACAGTGACATGGCTTGGCTTTCTGACAGGTAATGTTCTGTCCCTGTGCTCCCGTTGCCAGCAGAATTGACACTGGCCAAGTTCCAGAACTGTTGGCAGCAGATGCTGGAGCCATTGCTGGCTCCTCTGCCCTTTGTCCTTCAAATTCTTTGCTAGAGTTTATGCTGATTTCTTACCTTTACAAAGTTTTGCAGGCCTAGCCAGTCAGTAATAGAATGTACAGTTGTATACATGCAACTTTTTAAAAAAAGTAATATTTCCCATTCTCTACCTTTACAACTTAGAGAACCATATAGCCAGACCTCTTCTTTACCCTAGTTATTCCAATACACAATCTGAAAAAATCTGTTTTTCAATCAGCAGCCGGCACTAGTGGCTGAGCATAGATGAGTCTCACAGGGTGACTTTTTCTTTAATATGTGTTTACATACCGTGTAATCACTTGGCTACTTTGAAAGGCAGTACAATGGTAAAATCTTCCCTGAGGTTCTGGAAGTCATTGCTTTCTGTTTTCTGTGGCAAAAGGTATAGCTGTGTGAGGAAGATGAAGTGGCAATCTCTCTTCTTACCCCTGCTGAGAAACCAAATAAAAGACGTATCTTGATCGACAGTGCCAGAATTAACTTTCACTGAGATTGGCTGCTTGTCAACACCACTGATCATTACAAAATTGGCTTGCTCTTTCATCCTGTTTCCTTGCTTTCTTCCTGTTGTGAAAAGAAAGCTAAGCACACAAGTTGGTGATTGCTGGACAGTCTCTCTGCAGTTGTCTTGTAGTTAACTTCCAGTTTGCCAGATCCATGGTTCAGTTCTTGTGGAAAGGTGGGCTAGTAAAAACTTTGATGATTAAAAATGCCATCCAGTTGCAGCTGAGTTATGGCAACCTTGTAGATTTTTCAAGGCAAGAGATGAACAGAGGCGGTTTGCTGTGGCCTGCCTCTGTGTAACAGCCAAGGTCTTCCTTGGTGGTCTCCTGTCTTAAGTACTAACCAGGACTGGCCCTGCTTCACTTCCAAGTATGGATGAAATCAGGCTAACCTGGCCTGTATGCTGTTTAATGGATCTCTGACCGTAATAAAAATGAATGAATGAATGAGGCTAGCCTGGCCTACTTTAGTGGTTGATAAGCCTTTCTGAGCCACCTTTCCAAAGGCCTCTAAGGCCAATAACAGCTGAGTAAATTTAAACTCCAGAATGATTTTTAAAAATTCACTTAAAAGGCACTGCTTTAACTGCCTTGACTATCCAATATGACCCCTATGAGCAAGCTTCACAAACACCCCTTTATTTCACACAGGAGAACTGGCTTCATTCTAAAGCTCCCTTTCCTCACAGCCGTTTTAAAAAGTTCACTTAAAAGGCACTGCTTTAACTGCCTAGACTATCCAATATGACCCCTGTGAGCAAGCTTCACAAACGCCCCTCTATTTCACACAGGAGAACTGGCTTCATTCTAAAGCTCCCTTTCCTCACAGCCGTTGGCATCTGTTCTGACTGCCTGTCACTCTTGGCATACCTGGAAATCCTTCCTAAGCCTTCTAGGCAGTGCGGGTTCATCCCCTGACCTTTCAGCTATCTTGTTCAGGAAAGGAAGCATGAAATAGTGGAAGAATCTTTGGAGTCTTCATTCCCAGAGCTCACCTGTTCAAATCCTTCACTTAACCACATTCAGCAGCATTGTGGGCAACTACCCCCCCCCCCCCCAACCCCCCCCCCAATAAACCTTTGGCTTAATTAGGCAGAGAAAGAAGCATCAAGTTTGTATTCCAGAGGCTTAGCCAGTTAGTCCGTAGTAGCAAAAGCAATCTAGGAGTCTTTTGGCACCTTTAAAGGCTATAACCCATTTTAATTTTATCAGAGGCTTTCATGGACTCAACTTGTGTCTGCTTTATCAGATGCAAGCTTGTGTGTGAGTCTTTGAGTGCAACCCAGTAGTTGGGACAAATTTGCTGCTCTATGAGACTGACCAGTTGGCCCACTCCTTGCCATGGTGCAGCTGGTTTTGGGGCTCTTATAGGGCTAGTAGTTTGAACACACTGCTGGGGATGGGTATGGAGCTGTGAGACATGTGGCTGCAGCAGCTCCACCAGCCCTTCCCCTTTAAGGGGAGCTCTGGTTACTGAGCAGCATAGTAAGTGGAGATGAATGAGAAGGCCACATGATGTAATCCCAAGTTGTCTTTCTGAAACAGATGCTGCTTGTTCCTTCCTGCTGGGTCTTGACACTGCTTCTCTCTGTTGCTGTTAGGTTCTGTTCAGCAAACACCCTTTTACTTTTGGGACAGTTTGGGAAGTTTCGCTACTGTTACCCTCAAGTGAAATAGTTCCTGCCTTTTTAACTGTTTTAATTATTTATTGCTATACTTGCTTTTAATAGTTTTGTAACTTTACCATTGTGATATAAATCTAAATAAATAAATAAATAAATAAACAACTTAGCCTGGAGAGCCATTGTCCCTTTGCCCTTGCAAAGCAGTTGATTTCATCCAATGAGGTATGCTCTGAGTTAACACCCAAGGTAGCCTTTTCCTGGCCATTTCACAGAGCTGGATGAAGTATATAGCAAACTTTGACTAATGTGAGGTTTGGTTGTGCAGCCTGATGAACAAAACCTTCACATTAAGCATGTTGTAGTCTTTTGCATTGGAAGGAACATTTCCTGTCTGGTTCTTCTTGGTAAATAGGTTGGGCTTACGGAAATTTATTTATTATTTATTTATTTAAATTTATAACCCACCCTCCCCGCGAATGGGCTCAGGGCGGCATACAAATGGGGCCAATGTCCAATACATAAAACATTAAAACTGCATTTTAAAAACATTCAATATAACATAGGTGCTCTCCACAATAACTAACAAGGGAACAGATGATGTCATCAGGATGGTATCCTTAGTGGCCACAGCTCGACGCAGTACCACCATTTTAGCGCTCACGACGAGTTGGTAATAAAGGGCTAGGACAGATGGTAATAGTCGTAAACAGATGGTTACAGTCGTGGCGGCTCCTACTCAAATGTCTGGCAGAAGAGCTCTGTCTTGCAGACCCTGCGGAACTGTGCAAGGTCCTGCAGGGCCCAGATCTCCTCTGGGAGCTCATTCCACCAGGTAGGAGCCGCCACCAAAAAAGCCCTAGCCCTAGTCGCTTCTAGTCTGGCCTCTTTGGGACCTGGAACCACCAGGAGATGTTTAGTCCCAGACTGTAGTGCTCGTTGGGGCACATATGGGGAAAGGCAGTCCCGTAGGTATGTCGGACCCTGGCCATCTAGGGTTTTAAAGGTAAGAACCAGCACTTTGAAGCAAATCCGGTATGCTATCGGCAGCCAGTACAGTAACTTGTCCAGGTCAAGAGGAGTAAGAATATCTGCAGCAGGTAGATCTGACAGTACCATCTTTGTTTTTCCTGATAGGTAAAACGCTACCAGTGCACATTTGAGGGCTGTCCTCGTACCTACAGCACTGCAGGCAACCTGCGCACCCACCAGAAGACGCACCGAGGGGAATACACCTTTGTGTGTAACCAGGAGGGCTGTGGAAAGGCTTTCCTGACCTCCTACAGTCTCAAAATCCACGTTCGCGTCCACACCAAGGAGAAACCTTTTGAATGTGATGTTCAAGGCTGTGAAAAAGCCTTTAATACACTGTACAGGTAAATATTGGAGGGCTCTCTCTCTTCCTGAAAAACACAGTCACTCTCACAAACACTCATGCTTTCAGCCCTTCTGAAAGTCTCTACATGAAAATAGTTTCGCCACAACTTTTTCCTTCGAGACTGTGTCTGTGTCGGATGGGTCTGCTGTTCCAGGCTACCTGCAGGGTCTGAGAGAAGAGCCTCCTTTGCTGCCCAAATGTCAGCTGTTTCTGCTTGCAGTCCCCCAGTATGCCACTTTGGATATTTCCCTGGGCCTGCCTTGTTGGGTGGATCCAGTTCAGGAGATGCTGTCAGTAATGGAGTCTCCTTCCCATTCTGTAGGTTGAAAGCCCATCAGAGGCTTCACACAGGGAAAACATTCAACTGTGAATCAGAAGGTTGCAGCAAGTACTTCACCACGCTCAGTGATCTACGGAAACACATTAGGACTCACACGGGCGAGAAACCCTTTAGGTGAGCTCTCGAGTTGCTGCAGTGGGATCAAGCAGAGTTGGCAAACTGCTCCAGATTAGGTTCCTAGAAAGATGGATGAGAAATGTGGCTGTTGAGACAACTGTGCTGGTTATCAGTTTGTTTTCAAGCTCAATCCAGGTTGCTAGTTTTGACCTCTAAAGCCCTAGATCTTGTTCTGGAGTATATCGGTGAATACCTTCTTCCATATACAGCTCCCCAAAACCTCAACTCAGCCAACGAGCCCCCACTTGAAGTCTACTTTTATGCTAGATCGGCTTCCACAAGGAACAGGTCCTTTGCTGTTGTAGACCTGATGGTCTGGAACACCCCTCCACATCTCCTGCTTTAGTGGTGCTGCATAAACAAATGTGGGACCATTTTTGTTTTGTTAGAGCTTTTGGAAGCTAGCCTGTTCTTTTATTTATATGTATACTGCTTTGGAAGTGCAAGTTTGCAAAGTACAGTATGAGTTTCACAAATAAATAATTTTACCTTAAACCCCGTTATCTCTCAGCGTTCACATAGCTTTTGCCTAGAGGAACCAGTGTGTGGGACTGGGCTTTGTAGTCCTGAATAGTTGCTTAGGGAGGAGAGTTTCATCAGTCAGCGAGCTGTAGCAGTGAGAGAAATTGTACCTCCCTTTACAGGAGCATGTGAACAGAGTCCACCTGGAGACATGACTTAGGATACTGCCTGGCTGGTCCCTGAGCTACCCCAATGGGCTGACATTATTCTTGTTCCTTTCTCTTTTGCACTGCTGCCATGTCCAGAGACAGGCTGGGAACCAAGCTGGGTTGTGTCCTCCATGGGACTTCCACCGCCCTGAGGGCAGGTTAATGCACAGGCTTCTGACTCAGTAGGAGGCATGGGGCATTCTTAGAAATGGTGTCTACAGGAAGCCTCTTGCTGATACTTCTTTCCTTCCTTTTCACTGTAGGTGTGATCATGATGGCTGTGGAAAGGCCTTTGCTGCGAGTCACCACCTAAAAACGCACGTCAGAACACACACAGGTACGATTGCCGGGATGAGCAGCTCTGGAGTCACCTTTGTAACACTGTATCGCTTGCCACTGAAGAAGCTGCAGGGCAACAGTGACGAACAGCTAGCAGTTAATGACAGAGAATTAAGAGTGGGTTAAAAGCTGAATCAACCCGAAACAAGCCCAGCACATTAGAACAAGCAGCCAGGCCACTGAAGTCTGTTAGCAACCCCTTTGTCCACTCTTGTACAGTTAGCACATGAATCTTTTTTGGGCATTTGAAATCACGTGAACACATGAAGCTGCCTTATACTGAATGAGAACACCAAGGTCAGTATTGTCTACTCAGTCTTGCGGTGGCTCTCCAGGGTCTTAGGCTGAGGTGAGTCAGAACTCACTCATCATGCATAATGATGTACAATCCTTAAGGCCAGTTAATTTATATTAAATGTATCAAACTGAAAGGTATGTGTGGGGGTATTACAAGGAGAGACAAGTTTAAAACAAGATCCAATCAAAACAGTAATCAAGCCACTCAGAATAATAGTTTGCAGAAAACTGTCTACTCAGACTTGCAGTGACTCTTCAGGGTCTCAGGCTGAGGTCTTTCACATCATCCACTACCAGGTTTTTTTAACTGGGTATGCCAGGAATTGAACCTGGGACCTTCTGCATGCCAAGCAGAGGCTCTTCCATTGAGCCACAGCTCCTCCCCAAGGAAATCACAGGTCTGGTGAGCACTAAGGAGCTCTTGTACTGGCACCAACCTAGAAGCAGCTGGCTGTGCACAAGCTTATACCAATTTGTGCTGTTGCAGGTGAGAGACCCTTCTTCTGTCCCAGCAATGGTTGTGAGAAGACCTTCAGCACACAATACAGCCTCAAGAGTCACATGAAGGGGCATGAGAAAGGGCCCTCCTACACTGTACTTGCCAACAGCAACATCTCTGAGGTGGGTGGCTTCTTCTGTTGGAAAAAGAACACACTCTGTTCTTTGTCTGTCAATGTCTAGGATATCCAAGGCTGGGACTCTTATAGAAGTCCCGCTCCTTAGGAGTCTTTTGCAGGTGAAATTGCAGAACAGGGAATGAGCAAAAATGTCCCCTTTTCCTTATAGTGTGATCAGGAAGATTCTCTACCATTGGAACAGCTGATGCCTAGATCTGAGCAACTTCAGTAACACTCTAAAAGCAGGAGTTCAAGGGCACCATAAAGACTAACAAAGTTTATTTTATCATATGTTGTTGTGAGCTCACTCATCATGCATATGATGGCCATCCTTTTTTTTTAAGTACCCGAGGGTACACTTTTATTATTATTTTTTCATTATACACTACAAACATGCGTACAAACAACACATAACTACCTCCAACAACACATAACATATAGCAAGAGACATTCTCACTCCTTCTGCTTATTAAATTTCTAAATTCATTATCTATTTTACTAAGCTTATCTTTTCTGCATTCTCAAATTACTACATTTATCCATCAATTACGTTTACATTATACCAATCTTAGAATCTCTTCCAAGTTTTTTGAAAAGTCCATTCTGTGCCGGCTCTCATATCAAGTGTCAGTTTGTCATTTTCTGCTGTTTCAAATAGCTTGTTCACATACTCTTGTTTTGTTGGTATTTCCATTATTTTCCAATATTTGGCATATACTATCCTTGCAGCTGTCGACATATGAACTATCAAATACCTATCTGCTTTATCAAAGTCTTTCGGAAATATATTCAATAACAGTATCTCTGGAGTAAACGGGATATTAGTTCTTATTATTTTTTCCATTATCTCATGAATCCATCTCCAGTACCTCTTTGTAACATCACATAACCACCACATGTGATAAAAAGAACCAATCTTATTTTTACATTTCCAACATTTATCACAGCAATTAACATTTTGTTTAGCTAATCTATCTGATGTAATATACCATCTATAAAACATCTTATACATGTTCTTTTTATATGACACAGCATTAGTTAATTTTATATTTTTCCGCCAAATCTGCTCCCATTCTTCAAAATTAATATTATGGCCTATATTCTGGGCCCATATAATCTTTTTTTTTCACCAGCAGAAAATAAAATGATAAAGAAAATATATAAGATTTTATTGGATGGCCATCCTTAAGGCTGATTAAATTAAAAGTGGCAAACTGAAAGGTTATGTGTGGGGTATGACAAAGAGAGACCAGTTTTAAACAAGATCCAATCCAAACAGAAATCAGTCCCCTCAGAATAACGGTTTGCGGAAGATGTGGATACTGCTGAAAGGAAGAGATGCAAATGTGGTTGCTTCGCTGTTCAGAATGTCATGGCTTTGTGGAAGGCTGAATATTCCCTCTGGTGCCTGTTGCAGGATTTGGGCCTATGTCCTGGAGCACTGGAAGGGGGAGGGCCAAGCGGCTGGCATTCTCGATGGCAATAATCCCACGTCCTTCCATTCCCACATTCCATTGGCAGTTATCAGTGGGATGAATGGTTATGAGTATTCCACCTGTAAATTTCAAGATATAACAAGCCTGTCAGCCTGATCCAATTTGGGAGAAAGTCTCTTTGAAAGAAGTGGGACTTATTCCTTTGTAAACATGTCTAAGATTGTGGCATGTATTCTTTTCTCCTCGCTTGGGAATAGTCTTTCTTGAGCTTTATTTGTATTCATGCAGTGCCGGTTTAGCTTGCTAACCCACACCTTGGCTTGGCCTGTCTGTTCACACTTGTGTAATTAATAATGTTTGTCTTGCTGGACACTCACTTGAGCGCTGTTTGGGTGGAAAATGCCATCTAAGATGCCTTTAAGTGACCGTTGAGTGCTTCATTTGCTGTACTTCGGCTGCAGGCTATTGGCACATTCAGTAGTGCTTATTAATTTTGTTTTTAAAAAGGCCAGCAAATATTTTGGCTCCCCAGACTGATGCACTTGGAAAGGATGAGCCAAACTACCCTCATAATTTTAAGTGCTCCACAGATTAAAAGAATTCCCATCTTTTTTTCTGCAGGATACAAACCACTCGCTCTGCCTGAGTGACCTGAGCCTCATGTCCACGGATTCAGAACTGCGGGATAATTCTAATCCAGTAAGTATTCTTTGCATTCAGTTGCTGACAGCACAGTGGACTTGTCTGAGACACATCCACAATCCCCAGCTATGTTCATCAGATAAGGACTAATGTTCTCTGTTTCAGTGGTGGATTTCTCTTGTGCAGGTGAAAGCAAACTTTTACAGTCTCTGTGAGCTGATTGCACCAGGAAATAGATTTTGAGAGTAGATGCCTGCTCTGTGAGTCTGAGCAAGTGGCTGGCAGGGCCACCAAAGGTGGGTCCAGGTACAGAGAGCAGCCTATTGGGTTCCCCTAATTGCTCCCTCCTTTCTCCAGATGCATGGACAAGATCTGAGCACCATATCACCTGCCAGCATTTTTGAGTCCATGTTCCAGAGCCCGGAGCCTCCTGCCACTCAGGAAGACTCTCAACAGACAGGTACGAGCTCATTCTGTGTCACCTCCCCCGTTCCCACATCAACCTCCTGATGGCATCTGGTATTTTTGGCCACTGTGTGACAGAGTGTTGGACTGGATGGGCCATTGGCCTGATCCAACATTGGCTCCTCTTATGTTCTTAAATTCTTATGATGGCTACAATGTCTCAGGTAGGATAGCAGCCACACTGCCCACTGCAGCTTTGGAAAGAGGGATGGCCAGTGGGCTTCTGCTGCAGCAGGGATCTGTGGCTGAAAGGGCCCCATGTCTATGAATGTGTAGGAGGAGGCCATCAATCAGTTCCTGGCTTAGAGGCCTTTTCAATACCCATCTTACCTTGTATGCCCCACAGTGCTGTTATAGTCAGTGAAGTAACAAGCTCTTGTCTGATATTCAGCATGGCAGGGCTGGTCACCTTGGGTTGTCCCAGGAAACCAGTGCTACACAAGATTGGGGGGAAATTGTCTTGGTGTGATGTATTGATTCCCCCCCCCCCCCCGATTCCTGAATCACTAGAGCCCAGGCAGCAAGAACAGCATATAGAACGTGCCCACTGAAGTTAGTGGAGAAACAGGCTGGGGTTAAAAGCGGGTCCTCCCTATGAAGCCAAAGTCCCTGGGCCACTAGAGACTGAGTACCTGTAGCTGGGGACTCATACATGAAGTGCTTCTCCAGATCCCACGGAGCTTTTCTCATTCTGCTTCTCTTTTGGCAGCCGCCTTGATTGAAGGTGTCGGTGGTGATGCAGACTCGGCCCCTGCCAGCCAGCCGTCAGCAGGAGAGGCCAGACCTTTATCCCTGCCGCTCGTTCTGCAGCTTGGTATCTCTGAGCCCGCTCACCCTGCACCACCACCCCCTGCCCCCGCCAGTCCTCCACGGGAAGCATACGGAACCCCTGCTGCTCTCTTACAGACCCCAGAAGTGCCTGCTCCTAACAGCACATTCTTTGCCGCGAACCCTCAGAACTTCCTGCAGCCTGTTCAGCCGCCTCTGCAGCCCCTTGGGACTGGGCTTCCTGTTGTCACGGGTGCCCCCGCACAAGCCGCACCCAGTGCTCCCGAGGTGCTGCCTGGGGGGGTTCAGACCATGCCTCTCAGAGGGAGTTCTGTGCTGTCTGGCAGTCCAACTATCACCATCACCCCTTCGCAAAGTGCGGCCATTCTGCAGTCCAGCATTGTCATGGGAGAGCAGAACCTCCAGTGGATTCTCAACGGTGCCAGCAGGATGTCCCAGAACCAAGAGCAAATGGTTCGTGTCAGCTCCATGTTCCAAAATGCCAGGGGGGGGGGGGAACAGACCACCCTTATAGTTGGGAAGCTCAAGGCCTGTGTGGCTGTCACTGTGGGAGTCAGTGGGGGGAGGATTTTGCCTGAGTCCATTGTATGGTCCCCCCCCCCCCTAATCTCTTGCTAGCTCAGACCCATTCAGTCACTGAAAGGTGTCTTCTCCTCTTACAGCCACAGGCCCCAGTGGTGGAGAATGTCTTCTTTACTACTGCCTTGCCCGTCGCTGGTAATGCAGGTAAGTAGCTATTGAGATGCCTGAGTCTCATCCTCCACTTTCTTCATGGTTCCTGACACTGAAAAAAGACAGGCTCAGTGGGTTGTGCCCTGACCTGGGTGGCCCAGGCTAGCCCCATCTCTTCACCTCTCAGCAGCTGAGCAGGGTTGGTCCCATTTAGTACCAAGGAAGTCCAGGGTTGCTATGCAGAGGCAGGCAATGGCAAACCGTCTTGCCTTGAAAACGCTACGGGGTTGCCTTAAGTCAGCTGCTACTTGACGGCACTTTCCACCACCACCAAATGGGATGTTCTCATCAGATCAGCCTGCTCCTGCTCTGAGGCTGGTTTGAGGAAAGGAGGGACCTATCTGGGAGAGAGTTGCATCCTATTTCTTTCTTAGTGAGATTACCTTCCAGTGTTAATTACATGTGTTTGTCTGCCTCCCTACAAATGCCCAACAGCTGTCTGCTACGAGAAGATTTGAACATTGCTTGGGTATGGAAAACAGGGCCAATGAAGAGTTAGGGCAGTAGGGCAGACAGCTGAGCCAGAGAGAATAACCATTCCCCTGAAGCAGGAAACCAGTGTGGGGTGTAATGACAGTTCCAAGCTATTGCGGCTGGGCAAACTGCCCAAGTCAGGATCTGGCACCTGGTGGTGTCTCTCTCAAATACATGTTCCTCAGTGCTGAGATTGCTCAGTGCTTAGACTGTGTGTCTGTGTGTAGGTATTCTTTATAGTCTGCCTTCCTCATTCTGTAAGCCAGGCTTCCCCAATGTGGCACCCATCTGTGCTTCCCTTGGCCCCCTGCAAAGCTTTTCCGGAGTGGGTGAGGCCTTTGTAAGGCAGGGCATGTTATTGGTTGCCTTCATTCAAATGAAAGGGTTTTCCGTGGCTGGGTCAGGAGGACTGGTAAGCACCTGGGCTTTCCTTAGTCGGTGTATGGTTTCATCCTTTCTTCAGGCTTTCCCAGGGGGTGCATCTGGCTCTGCCTCCTGTGGCAGCTGTTTTGGGTTCAACTCTGTGTTCTGCAGCAGCTGTTTTAGGGTGGCACTCACCACCCCTTCTCTATATTCCATACATGCCCACTGGGTCAAAAAGGTTGTTTGATGTAAGTCAATGCAGTCAGTAGGATGAGACATTTTAGTAAGCAGTGTAATAGGACTAGGATTACAGTAATCTGAAGCAAAGCATTAGACATGATATGTTAAGCACGGCAGAAAGCAGTATTACATATGTATAAAAACAAAGCAGTGAGAGGAAGATAATACACACAACAAACAGA